CCCTCCACGCCGCGCTCCCGATCTGGCGGTGCCCGGGTGTGCCTCCCGCAGGTGCGGTGCCCGGTGTGCCCTCCCGCAGCTGCCCTGGGCTGCGGGGCTTCCCCGCCGCTGGAGCGCCTGGAACCGCAGCAGCAGTTCTGGTGCTTCTTCCCCGCAGTGGCAAGCGAGGAGTGATGGAGGTTCGTTAGAGCCAGGGTGCTCTCCCCGCTGGAAGAGGCTCCGTCCGCCCGTTGCCGTGCCCGGGGCTGGAGGTGCCTCCCAGCTCCGAGCTGGCCCCGAGAAGCGGCCCCAGGCTGTGAGGTGTGTCCATGGGAGCTGCAGAAGCGGGAACTGCTCCGCGCCCAGTCCCTGCCTCGGTGCGATGGGGCGGCGGGGCCGTGCAGCACGTTCTGCAGCCGGAGGGGGACACAGCTCTCTCGGAGTTCAGGAGGCTCCGGGGAGACCAGGAGCCGTCTTTATGGAGGGTCCTGCTAGCAGTGACCTAGGAATTTCCACCTCCTTGGTACCCTCTGGAAACTGCTGCATGATTGCTTTTCCCAGGGCTTTGTCAGCCCAGTTTTACGTGATGAAATTTGGGCTTGTTCTGCCCTTCTGAAGCTAGGATTGGTGGGTTCTGAACGAAGCCTGCTTCTGGGAGTGGTTCTGCTCCAAAAGCATGCATGGCTTTTTGTTCTCCCTTTCCTAGGCTTGAGATGATTAAAAATCTTTGTTCTGCCAGGTGCTAGATACAGTTCATAACATGAAAAACTGGTTGGCAGGGCTTTTCCTTCCAGAGCCATGTGACCTTCTCGATGTTTGAGTGCTGTCTGTAGTTTTTGCACCTGTCTGTGGAAGGAAACATCTGAAGGCTGCATTTTATTTCACCTTCTCTCCGTGTATTCTGTTTGTTGTTAGAAAATGAAGACTCAGTCCAAAAGACAGCGCCTGCAAATCAGCTGGTTGATTCTTTGGAGTCCAGTACTTCACAGAGCAGGTAGGAACATCGTTTTGTGGTCAGTGCCCTGCATGCATGACAGTCTTTTTCACCCCTGTGACCTCCATATGGCAGCTGATTCTGCACAGGAGACTGAATTGTCTGCTTTGGGACAGTATAGACTGGCTCAGGTGTTCAAATCTCAGAATCGTTCAGCTTGGGAGGAATTCTGCAGAGTTTTGTAGTCCATTGTAAGAGCTAATAAACTTGCAGCAGGAAATTTTCTCTATCCTGTCTGAAGGATACTTGAATAATTAAGCTTTCCCACTGTCTATCGTTCTGTTAGAAACTGAACACAAAAACAGTGTTACTGTTTTCTTGACAATGCTTTGGGTTTTTTTCTTCACGCTTTGTGTTCTGTATCTGTGCCCTGGGTGCAAGTGCTGAACTGTAGTGCTCTCTTCCTCCAAAAGGTCACAGGTTGAGTCACCCGTGAACACAGCTGCCACTGAAGGTTCGAAGGAAGAAGCTGGAGTTCTGGAGGACCAGGAAGTGACTGAAATAGAAGAGAAACTGCCTGACCAAATCCAGTCCCCCAAAGAGGTAGGTGGGTGTTCCTTATGTCTGAAAGCAAGGATGGAGTTGCATCGATAGTTCTTCCACCCTACTGCTGTGCTTAGGGCTGTGGGACAGAGGCTTCAAGGGTTGTGTTAAGACAAAAGTAGTATTAGCAGAGATCCAGTTATTCTTTTTCCTACATTAGCAGGCAGCAAACAGTCTCATTTGCAAAACTCCACGTGCCTTTGGCTAGTCCTTGGTTCCTTGCAGTTTTTGGCTCAATAGGGCTTCAGGGTTATTCTCACTTTCCTCTTGTCTTGGGCTTCTGGGAATTCCAGCTTTATGGAAGAGAGAACTGGAAGTGACTCTGCCATTTTAAAAAATTCTTTTATTTTCTTTTGGTGAGCAGCTGATTTGTTCACATTGCAGGTGTAGTTGGGAAAACCTGTCCAAGTGGCACCCAGCTCAGGAACTGTGATTTTACATATATGAGGAGAGAGCGCTGCTCCTTGTGAACCAGATGGACTTATAATTAGGACACAGCAAATAACAGTTTGATTGTGGCTGTAGTCTTGGTGCACACAGAGCTGTAAGGCTCTCCGTAGAGAGGTTGTGTCTTGGGAATTGTTTCCAAGAGTAGTCAGCTAAGTCTGTAAGGCTGCTTCTTTTGTTGAGAGGTGGAAATTACCTCTGAAGCAGATGCAAAGATGTGCGAGGCCGGGGCGTGTGTAATATGTGAGACTAATGCAGCATTTGACTTCAAAGTTCATCACTTTGGTGTTGTGGGGGGAAATAATGCAGAGAGGTGTCTCGAGGCCAGCAAATTCTTTTTAACTAACAGAAGCTTATGCAGGGACTGACTTGGCTTCAGAAGGGTGTCTGAATTACTAATGAGTTGTTTTAAATCCAGCTGAGGACTTTGTTACCACAATGGTCTTTGTGACAATGTTTCTTATGTGCTTTGTGCAGGAAGCTTTTGTTCCGGTAGCCAACTACCATGTGCCTCAAGGGGTAGGGGATATAGTCATGATTCAGTCAGATCACACTGGTGCTGTGGATATCCTTTCAGCTGAGCTGGAGACCACAGACCTCCTTGGGGAGCAGAGGAAAGGTGAGTCCTGAAAGGCAAACATTTATTTGGGCCACTTTTTAAGTGCCTGCCTTGGCAGGCCTAGAGAAGAGCAGAGGCTGTCCTGGAGATGCTGCTAATTCCTACTGGAAATTTAGGCTTCTGGCTAGCAGGCTCCAGAATGCAAAAACCTTACCAGGAATAGCTTCCTTGTTTTCAGATAACAGCTTATGAGTAGTGAAAAGTCGGGTGAGCCCACAGTCTTTTCCCTTTTTTCAGCTCAGCCTCCCCCTCTGGCTCCACCCACCATGTGGACCACTGAGAAGACGAAGGAGTTCAAAGCTAAGGTGGGAAAGGAGAAGAACGGCCGGATGGTGGTGAAGCGAGGCGAGGTGGTGACAGTCCGTGTGCCAACCCATCCTGATGGGAAGTGCATTTGTTGGGAGTTTGCTACAGATGACTATGACATAGGGTTTGGAGTCTATTTTGACTGGACCACTGTTACTAGCACTGCCATTACTGTTCAGGTCAGCGAATCCAGTGATGAGGAGGACGAAGAGGAGGAGGAGGAAATGGAAGGTTAGTCCAGAGCTTGTGAGGGTTAATTAGTGGTGCTTGTTGCCATGCTGCTCAGAGCGTCTGTCAGATGCTGCAATTTCCATCTACTTTGTTTACTCAGCCTGCTTGTTATCACTGCAGCCTTTAGGGTTGTTGGTTAGACTGTGATGAGAAAGCATTTATCCCTTCCTGCTTCAGTGTATGTCAATGGCTGTCCTTCTGCAAGAGCATTTTTAAAACTGAACACATTGAAAAATAAAATCAGAAATCACATGTTCAACTTTTAGCTGATAAAAAGACAAGGGTCTGAAATTTTAACTTGACTGGTTTTCTTAGCTTCTCAGACTGAGAAATTTCTGCTGGTGACTAGGAACAAAAAAGGTATTGTTTCTGAGTTTGTTTCTGGTTTGGTTGGTTGTTCATTTTTCTTTACCCCTAGCACATCAGTAGCTCCTGTTGGCTGCATTTAGGAGGATTGCTAGCTGTGGCTTTGTGCTTGTGAAACACAGCAATGTTGCCTCTTCTGTGGCTTCAGTGCATATGTGACCAGTGTAGCTTGGGGGTTGGTATCTGAAATAGGTTTTGCAGGAGTATGAGGAATCCTCTTGGAGAAGTGAATGGAGGACATAAACACAGTGAGGTTAAAACTAAGAGCTTTCCTGCCTTTCTTTTGCTTCAGTTCTATATCACTGGACCACTGTTGTGTGTATAAAAGCAATAAGGTGTCTAAAAGTTAAGTTCCAGGAAGAGGAGACCAGGCTGGCAGGCAAGTGGATACTGTCCCATCAGTACTCTCAAGAGAACTGGTTCTCGGCGTGTTCTCTGTCATGATAAGAAAAGCTGGACTTTGTGGGTATTATTTGGAGAAAGGTCAGAGCCGACACTGCGGGTAATGCTATCATAGTTTGCCTTCCATGTACCTGCAGGCCTCTGCTGCTTTCTGGTCTCGTTGATCTTTTTTGGGCTACCCAGTGGCTTAACTGGCCCTGACTGACTTGTCTCCTCTCTCCCGTTCAGGACTCGCCCCTGCTGGTGACGTGGAGAGGGGCTCCAGGAGCTGCCTGCGGAACCGCTACGGAGAGATCATGCCGGTGTATCGGAGGAACAGCCATCGGGAGGTGCAGGCAGGCAGCCACGAGTACCCAGGCGAGGGCATCTACCTGCTGAAATTTGACAACTCCTACTCTCTCCTCCGCAATAAGACTCTGTTCTTTCATGTCTACTACACTAGCTGAAAGAATGGGAAGGGGCAGGGATGGCAGGCAGGTAATGGGGAGGGTAGCAGGCTGCCACCCAGCCCTGGTACCACCTGATGGGCACTGCTATGTGACAGAACCAAGGCACAATTCTGCCAGCTTCTTTTCAGACACTAACTGGTTTCTCCCTGCACCCTCCTTCCTTGCTGTCCCAGTGGAGAATTGTAGTTGTGACTGCCTGGTTGTCCACAGGCGGCTGCACTTGCTGTAAAGCTTTGGGAGATCTGCTCTGTCAGGCATCGGGCTGGGCCTTTGTGTCACAGCTGGGAAATGCCGAGAGGCCAGGTTCAGGTGCTCATGGTTTCCATCTGTTGCACTGGTACAAAATGAAGGCAAAATATTCTTGATCTGTTACTATTGTGAATAACTATTCTGACTCTCCTGCTGTATCACTAGAGGGCAGCTCTCGGCTGCAGTGAGCCAAAAGCACAGCTGGCTTGTCACCGAGCCGTTGGTAACCTTGTCGCCTACCACCAGTGTGTGTCATCAGCAGCCAGTGCTGCCTTCACTCTGGGTGGAGGTGCAGCTGCCCATGCGGTGGCTAGCCCATGCAGTGGCAAGGCCATGAGACAACTTGCGGGCCCCAAAAGGCAGTCACAGCATGTGTTTGAACAGAGGGTGAGGGGAGAGTGCATACCTAGAGGTCCACAAGAAGGTTTTCCAACAGATTAAGAATTGGATGTTGTATCTGTTGATTGCAGGGATATGTAGATGATTAAAACTTTGGTGACCACCAGAAGTTTCTTCTGTAATCCAGATGTGAAGCAGAGGAAATTACTTATTGCTGTGCTGAATAAATCCAAAAAGGTTGGAGTACAACCAATAAATACACAGGACATGTTCCTTAGAAGCAGCATGTTGGTTCACTGGTGTTGCTGCCAGCTGGATGATACCATATGTAGCAAGGAAAAGGCTCCCCAGAGCCTTACCCAGAGAGGGTAGCTTGTCAGCTGCTATTGCTGTTGCAAAGGTACTGTTGGAAGAGAATATCTCTGCTCAGAAACTCAAAAGGTGTGGGATTTAACCAGTCCTTTATGTGACCCAGAACCAGCAAGGCTATTACTAATCCTGAATGTGTGGTAAAGGATGGAGTTCCTTGGCATGTTTTGATGGCGTTAGTGATCACCTTCTGCTCAAGTACTGGCAGAGTTGAACAGGGAGTAAGTTAATCCTTCAGAGATGAATTTTAAATTATGATTATCTGTAACTGTTGTTTATTTTAATACTTTTAACTTGAAATAATTCTCTTTTCTAAGCAAACTGCTGTATTTACATTTTGATACCTCTTTGCAGAGACACAAAGTGGCTTTTTGCATTGTGATTCTAGTAGATTTCTGAATTTTATTTTTAAATCCTCTAGGTAAAGCACCAGTCCATTCCTTCTATTGAGAGGAAATCATAGACAAAATTATTTTGGAGTAGTTAAAGCCAAAGATTTCACTCTTGGCGAGGGGGGGGGCACCTATTTCCTTTTCAGGCTATATTGTAATGCTGTGCTATTTGCTCTGTATTCAGACTCTTCTTTTAACTATCTTTACTTACTTATTCACTGTCCCAGAGCACTTAGTGGGTCACAATGGTAGGAGAGAAAGTAGTTAATCTTCAGTAAAGTAGCCCAAGCTGGGAATGGGAGGAGTGGAAATGCAAAGAGCACTGGTTGGAGCACAGCAGCTTTTGGGGTGAGCAGGCAGGGAGCAGAGTTGTTTAGGGTAAGCAGCAGAGTTTTTGCTGCTTTGGGCCCTGAGATGGGGAGAAAATAGCTGCCTTTCTCTAAAGAGAGAGAGCTGGTGAAAGCTGGGCCAGGGGGAACTGTACAGCTGTCTTAATCAAGCATGGGCAACAACAGCACAACCTTGCTGGGAGACAAAACAGTAGGGCTTACTGTCTGTCAGACTAAGATGCTCTTTCAGTTAGCACCTTGGGAGTGACTATTCCTTCCTGTAGCCTCACCTGGGAGAGAAGAAGGATTATACTGTGGCCTTTCTAGAGCACTTGAGCCAGGCCTGAGCAACTTGGGCAAGGGGGTAAGGCACTCTTTTACTCTTTTTTTTTTCTTTTCTTTTTTTTAATCCTTTGTCTATCAAGTTCCTAGACACTAAACAGAAGAAGACAGAAAAGACCTTTCAGTCTGACCACAATGTCAACACTGCCCCACTCAGTGACTGCCTTTGGTCCTTTGCTGTGAGATCTGCAGAACCCTGTGTGCACTTGCCTGTTAAGGTATGATGCACTATCTGGCATCCGTTCCACTTTCTAATTAGAATTTATTAATGATGAAGGGAACTCTGACCTGTACATACATTAGATATTTCAGAGTTACTGATCCTTAGTTGCAGACTAGTGGGTTATCTCCACAAAAAAACCTGTTTCCCTTTTAGTGTGGCCTCCCTGTTGCTGACTCACAGCTGCTTCCCCCCTCCTGTCTCTGTTGCTTATGTTAAGATTTTAAATACATTTTGCCATGTTATAAAAAATTAATGAGGCTTGCCTCACAACCAGTTTTGGTCACTCATTGACACATAACTTGATGTGCCAGTTTTCAAATCCATTAGTTTGTGGTTTTAGTTAAGATCAGTTGCACTGTAGATAGCAATCCTGTGGCTCAGTTCTAGCTTACTGAAGTGTGGCCCAACCTTTAGTAAGGCTCAGGTCACTTGTTGGGAACCGCACTCGTCTCCAAGTCTCATTGACTGAAGCCCAACAGCACTGACTGTGGTTTGTCATCCCAGTCAGCATGTGTCAGGTCTGCAAGTGCATTGTGTCCAGAGATGAAGCTGCTGCAGTGGAACTGAAAGCATTCAGTGTGTTATTTCACTGCTTAAGTTTCCCAGAAGTATCTGATATCTCTTATGAACACAGGAGAGTTTTAGGCACAGAGTATTTCATCTGCAGGAAACAAGCTGCACAGCTGTACAGGATAATTCCCAGTTTTGTTTGTTGCTGTTTGTTTTAATTTTCACATGACATGAGTATTTAGGTAGCATACATCAGGTATTTAGGTAGCATTCATTATCCAAGTGACAACTTATCTTTGGAAAGATACATAGTCTATTTGTTTTCTGATAAATCCCATAGCTTGACTGTGGCTAGTGATTAACAGCAGCCATTCCCATTCAAAATTGAACCCATAGTTGGATCAAAGAAGTAATCTTATTTCTCATGCATCCTTTTTTTCAGTTTGGTGTATCTCCTGGATTTGTATCTAATCCTGCTGTCTGGCTGAGGCAGTGATGGAAATCTTCATTATTTTAATTCAAGACCTTGGGAACTAGACCTTGTATCTAGAAAGAAAAATTAATTTAAAAGGCTGTTACACTTCAGAGAGGGAAAATAATCCTTGAGAAAGGAAAATTCCATCTTTGTTTCTGTGGAAAAAAGATTTCAGATAGGTTTTTAAAATGTGTTTCTTCTTCCTGTAAATTATGTCTAGAAATCAATGATCTTGAAGGTCATTTCCAACTGAGGTAATTCTGATTCTGTGAAATTCAAAAAGCTAAATCAAGGAAGAAGCTTATTTTGCATTTTGGGTTTGTTTTTTTGAAAGCACAAAATTATTTTCCATTTTGTTTGGAATATAATTTAGATCTAGAAATTTACGTGTTCAGCCAGCGATACCAGACATTCCTGTAGTGCAGGACTTGTATAAATATTAGCTTGCATAATTGTTTATTTATAATAATTGTAGCAATCTGTTGGGCATTTCTTTATGTCAAAGAAGGTCATAAGATCTCCATTGTTTTCTCATTATTCTTATTTTTTCATATAATTGTTTTGGTTGGAAAAGACCTTTAAAATCATCAAGTCCAACTGCTAACCTAGCACTGCCAAGTACACCACTAAACCACATCCTTAAGCACCACATCTGAATGTCTTTTAAACACATCTAGGGATGTTCCAGAGCCTGACAACCCTTTCAGTAAATAAATTGTCCCTAATATCCAATCTAAACCTCCCCTGGCACAACTTGCGTCCATTTCCTCTTGTTCTCTCTCTTGTTACTTGGGAGAAGAGACCAGGCCCCACCTCACTGCAAGTCTCCTTTCTGGTAGTTACAGAGAGTTACAAGATGTCCCTTCAGCCTCTTTTTTTCCTGGCTAAACAGCCCCAGTTCCATCAGCTGCTCGTTGTAAGACATTCTCCAGACCTTCACCAGCTTAATTGCCCTTCTTCGGACTTGCTCTAGAACCTTAATGTTCTTCTTGTAGTGAGGAGCCCAAAACCGAACACAGTATTTGAGGTGTGGCCTCACTACTGCTTTTTTAAGTGTAAAGTATCACCAGGAGTTTAAAATGTATGTGTTTTACTGAGGACACAGAGTTAAAATTGCTTAAATCAGGGACCGCTTGTACTAACTTAATTTACGCACAAACTCTTTGGTGGCCTGTAATAGGGATCCTTGTGAAGGGTTATTGGTTTCAGATATAGCCTAGTTGCAAATTGGTGCTTACGACCCATTTAATGATTACATAAATTATGATTGGTAACAAGGCATTTACACAAACAGGAAAGATGAAAATGCCTAAGAGAGAGAGCTTAGTTGTCTGACTTCAGGTGCTAAGAAGAAAGTCAATTTATTATGCGACCGAGTCTGAGAGACAGGCACATACCTTCCCTTTGGCTCCACCCTGTGCACTTGTCTCCTGGTAATTGTGTGTGCATGTAACCTTCATCTGTGGCCAGCAGTGGTCAGTTGTGCTGCTGGACCTGGTGGAGTGGGTTAGATGTGGACCTTCTTGTTTGTCTAGCTGCTGAAAGACTTGCTCGTTCTTGTGAGGTACGAGAGTACAGAATGAATTCCTAAATGAGTTCACTTTTATCCCTGCTGCTTATACCTTTTCTTCTTGCCTCACTAAAGCCACTCTACAGAGGATTTATCACAAGGTGCCTTAGGAACAACAAGCATATCTGAAATAAGAGCCACAGATATCATTAATCCAAGGTATTTCTTCTTGTTTCTTTGTCCATTTGAGTAGAGGGGAAGCATTTCCTAAGGTCAGGCAAGGAGAGCCCCTATAGGCTGTCCTGGAGATTCAAGCTGTTTATTAGACTGCTTTGTTGCTGTAAGATGAGTAGTAGAATGGTGTTTTGAGTTTTCTGGTGCCATAAGAT